GTTTCTCGTACTCATCCTACTCCCATGTATAGTAACAACTAGAGTTCTATATAAATTACTCATATCTTAATCTTTCATGAATCGTACTAAGCATATAGAGAGATTATAGAGAGAGATGAACAGTCGTCGTAGTAGCCATCACCTCAAACAAGGCGCCATTAACGTTGCCATTTCATCTACTTTGCAGATCTCCAAACTCGTAATTTGTGAATTTCTTTAATAAATCGCATTATGTTGCTCGTTTCGTTTTATAGTTAATAAACTCCCAATGCTAATTAGCAACTGCAACATGAGTTTGAGGAGACGTTTAGAGTTATCATATATATTTTACTATATTGCTATATTAATGGTAGATTATAGACTAATATTATTATGTTTCTAGTTCTTTTTAGTTAAATAGCTCATTTTATTAGGTTATTATTTTGGGTTTTTTTTTAATATATATTTTCTGCAATAAATAAAAATATTTTTCCTATGTACGTTCCATGAATATCTTAGCTATTTAAATTATTTATCATAAATTACACATGTGTGTTGGTGTACAATTCAATGATTGTAATATATATATATATATATATATATATATATATATATATATATATATATATATATATATATATATATATATATATATATAATAAATTTAAATATAGTATAATGTATTTTAGTTTGCCGAAACTCTTTGATGTTAGATCGATAATGTAGATTATTTAAAAAAAAATGCAAAAAATGCTGATTTTCTTTTTTAAATCTTCGAATGGATTAAAAAAAATGATAGAATAACTAAATATCTAACTAATTATAATCGATCTAAAAAATATTTCATTCACATCAAATGCGCGAGTAAGTGAAGATTTCCAAAAAATACTTCAATTGTGTAAATTAATATAGTTATGGTTATTCAAATCGTCGAACTATTTTTATATTAAATATAATTTAATACTAAAACTAATATAGATAGACATTATTTAAGGGCATCTATTTTTTTCAACAAATCGTAGACCCCAAGTTAACCGTCAGAACCAACGATGTACATAAGTATACATTCATCGGGTGCAGCATAAATTTGATCATAGTATTTTCTACCTTACTTACTTGCCAACATCCTTAATTCCTTATAAATTACCATATAATAATAATCTCATAGACAAAAAGTTTAGCACATGATTTCGTCAATGATTTAACTTTTAATATAACATTGTTTAATTAATATATAATATTAACATACTTTGGAAGCGACAACTTTAATTAGGCCATGATCGATCAACATTTAAATAAAATTTCCCTTTGTCTGTTGACAGAAAGTGAGATGATCATATATTATTTTTCTTCACGTGAGATACCATTTTATTTACATACATATGCGTTTTCTAATTTATTTAATATTTTGATATTTTCTTTTTCTTCGTTAGAAAGAAATTAAAGGTGGATTTTTGCCTTTGCCAAAAGCTTGTTCCTTTTCACTTTTTTTCTCAAGACCGATTTGCTATATTGATTTAGATTCCAATTCTTATTCTTATATATAAAGGAGAGAAACGTCATTGTTGTAACCCTAAGGAGATTTTTGTATAAACATAAATTCTTTTTATTAATTTTTTATTATAAAAGTTTCAAAATTCAAACCAAACTGTGTAAAGTTCTTTCGACATTGATCTCTTTTTTTTTTCAAACATACATTGCGAATTATATTTACACTTTTTTTTTCCTTTAAAATTTTCCAAAAAAAAAAAATTGCTTCATACCAGAGACAAATCAACGGAGTAGGTGGCGAGCTGAATGAGAGCCGTTGGAAAAGAAGACACATAGGATGTGCTCCCTAAATAGATAAGAAAAACATGTGAATCAAGAAGAGTAATTGAGCAATCAATGTAATTAGACAAATAAAGAGAACCTAAATTATGAAATGTCTAAAGAGAAACCCTAGCTCTATATAAATGAATATAAAGACCCGATTTAGGGCACAATTAATATCAATAAGAACACTTTTATACTCTCTTCCAAACTCTCTCTCATACTTATCATTTTCCGTTCATCATTTCGCCATTGCCGGTCGAAGATCCGACGTTCGGTGTACTTTCCGACAGTCTAAAAAGAGTAGGGTTTGAAGTAAGGTCTTGAGGGTGTAGATTCTACACCATCATTACTAGTGATACTTGTAATTATTTTCACTCGTAACTATGTATTATTTCAGGGTGAACAAAAAACTTGAAAAATCAAACAAAAAACCAACAAATTAAACCGAACCATTACCAATCGACCAGAGGCAAAAACCACTGGCACTACAAAAAAAAGTATTTTATGTGACAATTTTGTGTGACGAAAAATAATTTCGTCACACTAGTATGTATATTTTATGATGAAATTCAAAGTCGTCACAGAAATGAACATTTTATGCGATGAAAATTTAGTTTGTGACATAAATTCTATTTTAGATGACAATACTATGAAATCGTCAAAAAAAAAATGAAATTGTCATAAAAAGATTTACGTGATTTGTTGCATAATCCACCGACATTGTGCTGCGACGAGAATTGTTTTCTTAAGACAATCAATTTCGTCACAGTGATTATTTTAGGTGACAATATTAATTTCGTCACAAGGCCAAATTCATCTGGGAAAAAATATTCCTCCCAAAATTTTCCTCGATTATTTAGTGGCGTCTTTCCATATTTCTTATTTCCAACACTTATTATTTGTCCCAAAAAAGTTCTGGACTTCTCTCTCTCTTTTTTGCTCCTCCGCCACCCTCAATCCACCAATCAATTCAGGAATTCTCGGGCATACAACGCCCCCAAATCGGCGGCTCAAACAAAGGGATTGATGCATAATGAATTTATGCATCTTCCGCTCCGCCGAGGAGGTCGATTTTAATAAGCTTGACGGCGGTAGGGACGACCAGTCGCACCGTCTAGGGAGCTTCAATCGCGACTTGGATCGTGAATTTGCCCCTTCTAAGGCTGACGAGACCGACGATTGACTGGCGGGGAAGAAATAATCTTCCAATAACATCTCCGACAAGAAGGAGAGGGGAGAGAGAGGGGGTTTCTTCTTCGATTTCCAATTGCGAGCATATAGCGTCAACAATTGGTCGTTTCTCTCCCTTTCTTCATTTGTATAATTAATTATTTAAAATTTATTTAAGGTTTTTCTAATGTTTAGAATTAACTTAGGTATTGGAAAATTCAATTTTAGAATTTGGTTTTACGTCTGTCTGCAGAGCCACCTTCTTCCACCTTCTTCTAAACAACTTGAAAACAGTCGGTTAACAATTTTTTTTTTTTTTGGCACATGGAGGTGTTTGCATGAACTAATCATAATTTAAGTCAGAACATGGAGGCTTCAGATAAATGCACTGACAAAGCACCACATAGCATAATGACTAATTGTGCTATCCCAGATGAGTATTTATCATAATTGCCATTTAATCAATCTGTGGCCAAGCTTCATACCTTATTGCATCTATATTTGTATGTTTCTTTTACTTAATTTAGGTAACATGTATTGCGTATATCTTCTCGGCCACCGGCTACTGTGATCACCGCATCCGAAGTGCTGGAGCTTGCTGAAACCGCTCTTCCTGTACGGCGTCATACTGCCGGAAACTCTCAAGTCCTCTGCTCTCCGGCATCTCGGATTTCCCCAATGCCACCGCATTCCGTGTTAAGGATCTCGATTGCTCTGATGCCCCGTCGACTTTTTTAACCCCCGTCGACTTTTTTTAAATAACAATTCTTCCCATGCCGAAGAACTCAAAGAGAGTCTTTTCTATCTCTCTCTCTCTCTCTCTCTCTCTCTCTCTCTCTCTCTCTCTCTCTCTCTCTCTCTCTCTCTCTCTCTCGTTCAACCCTTGAATTGTTAGATGCAGAGATGTACGTACTTACAATGAATAGTAGAATTTGTTGTTAAAAAAAATTGAAGCGGATTTGTTATGATATTGTGCTTGATTGGTTGATTTCATATATATATATATATATTTATATAATACATGGATATATATTTTATCAATACATGTTAGCATCTTTAATGAAATATTCTGCTGCAAAATGAGATCAACGAGTGCTTGAGTATGTTTAACAACTATTTAAGAAAAGGCGTTAATTTAGGTAAGTGTTCGCGTTGGATAGATTATTGATTGAGCTGTTTGTTCGCTATCACAAAGTGCTCGATTTTTTTCATTTGTAAATATGAAAATGTTCTTCAAGATGTGAATTGTCATCTATTGTTCATTTGTTTTGCATTGTTTGTTCTATGTGATAACAGGTTTTGGTTTTTTCTATATGGACCAAGATCTTGGACATAATCGATTACTATTTTAGTGAAAGATTCATGGTTTGTTTCCTCTTGAAGAACATTCATGGTTTGTTTCCTCTTGAAACATTTTCTATCGTGTGCTAATTTGATACATTTGCAGTCTAGGAGGATTTATGTATCTATTACACACTATGATTGTTCATAGCCTTCTATAAAAATGAATGAGATTTTGAATAAAGCAAACTGATAAAACCTCAAAGCTCTTAATCTCTTGATCTTCTGGAAAACCAAGTTGCTCCAAATCCATTTGTAATTCCCTATCATTTACAGGTTCTTATAGAGAATCTTTGGTGTTTGCACTTGTTGATCAGATGTTATTTCATTCTCTTTAGTAAGCTTTACAGTGTGTTAATCATTTGTTTTTGTTATTCATGCAGAATGATGCTCATGGCACCATGTTACATGATTTTGGAAACTGAAGTTGGTTGGTATCGTGTTTGTATGAAGGTTAATGATCAGTGTTTTTATTTACCTTTTGAATAGTTAAGTCATTTTTTGATCATCTCTTGCAAGTATGTTC